AGACTTGAGCACAAGTGTATGAAACTTCCTCCAATTCATCTTTTCCATCATGTTTCAGGCATTCCCAAATTTCTCTTAACGAAGAAGCATTTCTAAGCTTGGCCTTTGCAATCCAGGGAGACTGTAACACCATTCCAGAGGGGTCTGATTACACTCTCTCCCCTCTCCCTACTAACAGGAAGACATGGAGGAAGCAACCAAGTTGTTCTTAATTTCAAAATTTCACAAAATGCTGGGCATCAAACAGGATGCTATTGTCCTCTCTGGACCCCTTTATTTATTTATTAGATTTATTTCCTGCTTTCCTTCAGAAGCTTGAGGTGATGTACGTGGCACTCCCTTCCCCAATTTTCCCCTACAGTAACACTTCGACTGGGCTAATAGATTGGCTCAAAATGAGGTTCTGTGGCTGGGTAGAGCTAAGATCTCCCCATTCCTAGTGGAACCCTCCAACCACTATATCAGAAGGATTTTTAGCTCCTCAGCGACAGAAGCATTGCAGCTTCTATCAACATTTTTCCATAGGAAGTAAAAATTGAATTTTGTTTGAATTGCCCATTTCTAGAGATTGCTTTATGCCTTCTCCAGTTTCCCACTAATTGCCCACTGCTCCAGACCAGAGAGTCTGCAGAGAGAAGAGAGATTACCTGCATCATCAAACTGGCCAGGAGATACTAGTTTTCTGATCTTGTCACTTTTTTCATCAGTCCACCATAATTTTTGGGGTCTGTGTTGGCAGCTCTCCTGTCCCGAGGAGAACTCCTTCACTTGGAGCTGGCCCAATTACAGTGTCATACCCTGAGATTGAAAGGGATCACTTTGCCCAGCTAGAATGTAATTCTCATTCAAGTAACAATTCTCATCTCATGCTGCTTTTCCACCATTCACATTTGCAAACTCATTGAAGAGCATTTTGTTGATGTGAAAGAGGAAGGATTTCTCCTTTTTTTTTTCAGCAGTCTCAAGCCAAACACTCCATGGACACTTTTCTGTGCTGTCTTCAGTTCTACTGTGACAGTAGAGCAGAAAGGTGAATAGCCAATAGCCACCCATTTATATATCAAAGATTTCTGTGTAGGGTAATATTCCTGAAGCGTCCCTTGGTGTCCCTTCTGGGGACTTCAGTTTGGTTCTAAAGATTCTATTGCATCCTCCATGGGAGCTTCTATAGTTCATGTCCCTAAAGTCTCTGTCTTAGGAAGTTGTCTTCCAAGTAGCCTTTATTTTAGCCAGGAAAGTATCTGCACTGGCCATCTGATCTCCCAAAAAGCAATGGTGTGTCATACTTACAGACTCTGTTTTACTAGGTGGTAATCTTACCTTCTTCCTTCCATTATAACCAAAAGCTAGTTCTGCCTTCCTCTCATCCTAAGTGCAAAGAAATACGGTGACACAAGCTGCTGAGCCATTAATATTGACTTTTGAGAATTGATCAATTCAGACTGTCTTCAGCTGCCTACCCTGAGTTGCGGTTTCCCTGGGAATTATATCTATGTCTATCCAGGGGTGCCTTTTGCTAGCTTACGGATCTCAGGTTGTTGCTAAGTGGCTCCTGCCAATCCAAATTTGGCTGCCTTTGCTGTCAGTGCTCTCTCAAGGGATATTTGGAATCTGTTTCATCTTTCATTATGCACTTTGCTGAAGCCTCTTTCAGTTGATGGGTCATTTCAAGGCATAACTTCGATTTTGTATTGCCTTCCTAGCTGGACAACTTTGCTAAGTCCCACTGTAGGGCGTCAGCCTTTACTATAGGAAAATGGAACATTGAATTTACTGTCCAAGTTTCTTTTCTGCAACAGCGAGTGCATCTGTCCTCTCCCTGGTCTCAGTTTATTATTTTGTGAATTTTGTTATTTGGGGAAGATACATGAGTGCATATCAAGAGTGGAAGTCAGGCTTCCAGAGGTTGAAATCAGTGATCTTTAACCTGCTTCATTCATTGTCCATCTGTGGACTTCATATTAAAACATTTCTCAACACTTATCTCTATGGGTTCTTAAGTCAAATGAAGAGTTACATGTACAAAGTGAAAATAATGCTGTTTAGTGCTTGATGTCAATATTGTGCAGAGAGTGATTCAAATACCTTTAAATCAAATGTACTTTGCAAATCACAGGAATGTTTTAAGCAGTACATCATTAATCAGACCATTGCATCTATACAGATGCACTTGAAGGTACCACTAAGAGATATGAGATAACTGGCAAATGAATAAAAACAATATTATTCATTGTTAAGAGGGAAACTGGCAGATTTTTGTTCTCCATTCTGATTTTTCTAGCAATGCACCAAAATCCAAATATAGAATCCCAGCCTTGGATGAAATCATTTAAGTTCCTGAATCCAATTCCATGCTCAGGGCTGGAATCTGAATTAAAGCCACCCTGAACCTGTTGTCTAAGCCTCATCTTGAATACATTCTGGGATAGATGGAAACAGCTCACAGCCTTCTGTTTTAAGTGACACCCTCCCATTATGCTTTTCAGCTATGCTATCATATCCCTCCTTGTTCCAGTCTTTTCAAGGTTAAGCATATCCAGGACAGAGTCCACAAGAATCTGCCTTTTAGTCCTAGCCCCATTGATTGGTTGACTTGATGAAACTAATTAAGGCTGTAGGTCTAGGGACATTTACTAGGTAGATCTATGGACAGCCATCCTCTTAAAGCTTATTTGTGGACTGTACTTTTGAAGAAAATGCACACAAATCTGAGTAGGAACTGGGGAAAAAAGGATAGAATTCCATCTAACATCTATATTTTTTGTAATGAGAGACAGATCATTGGTTTGTCTCCAGGATGTTGGCATCTGGTGTATTATGAGCACCAGAATTAAGTGGAGAGATTCAAGAAGTCCTAGAAAAGGAACAAGATGTTCTGAGGTGATGAGTTTGGGGGAGGAGCTGGCAGCTTAGAAGTACCAATCAAGAAAACAAAGAATTCATTTCTGAAAATAGAGATCACAGTTGCTTTATGTCAATTAAATATGGAGGCAAAAGTGGATAAATGGTCAGTATAATCTAACTTGTAAGGGTTTTTATTAAAAAAAAAAAGAATTTTTTGAAAAATATTCTAATGAACATGATAAGAAAAGTATTTTATTTCAGTACTAAAGAGCTAATGGCTTGGAAAGCAGGATTCTTAGTCAAATCCTAATGAGGGACATTGACTAGATGAGAAACACACTGTACCAGCTCTTCCTATGGAACAGGGAGACAATTTAGGATAGACATACTTGATCATAATACTGGAGAACTTAAGTAGTATCTGTTTCTCTGCTTCAAAGAACCCTGGGAGTTTGTGATGGGCTACTGCTCTCTGCTGGCCATTAAGGGAACTGTGCAATATGGATGTTTATTGATTAAGTACCACCTTGCTGCTGGTTGTCCTCTTCTCTTTCCTTCCACCTTTCCCAGCATTACAGCTTTCCCCAGAGAGCTAGGTCTTCACATAAGGAGTCTGAGCCTGGTCATTTGGGCCTTGAGTGAGAATTCTGGGTTGATTTGTTTGATAATCCATTTGTTTTCTTAAATATTAATGATATTCTCAGGAGTCTTCTCCAAAGTTCAAAAGTGTCAATATTCTATCCTGTTTCTTCAAAGTCCAACTTTCACTTCCAAAGAGTATCATGGGGAATACCATTGCCTGCGCAATTCTGATCTTTATAGGTATAAACAAATCCCAGCATCTGAATATTTTTTTTCCAAGGCCTTCATGGCTATTCTCCCAAGTGCTAGTCTGTGGTACCTTCTTGGAAGTGTTTACTATTATGCTAAGATCTCTTGCCTCATCAGTCACTGCGAGCTCTGCTCCCATTAGTTTGTATGGGTAGTTAGGATTTTTGGCACCAATGTGCATCACATAATGTGCATCAGTAAAACATATGACATAAAACAAATCCATGCTGTACTTAAACAGCACTGGGAGAAAGTTTCCAAGAATATCAAATGAGCCCAGGTCATTTATCTTCTATGTTTCATGCCTTCCCTGCAGAAATTTGAGCTACAATAAATTAGGGCGTAATCCTATAACTGTTTATTCATTGGCAGTAAGATACAGAGCTCTCCATGAGCTCAAACAAGATTTACAAATGGGGCACTGTTGTTCCTTCTGTGTATTCTCTAAAGACTAAACATATGTTTAAGAAGTCACACACTGTTTCTCCCATTTTGGGCTAGTTGTTCCACTATTTCCTGGCTAAGAACAGGAAACAGACTCATCGTACATACTGAGGTAAGGCTCTAGAAGCCCTGGTTGACCTAGTCATAGATCTGGTTCAAGCCTAAACTATGTGGAACATCCAATCAAATTAAGTCACAGTGAAAGAAGGGGGGTTCTTCAGTAGGGTGTCTAAAAGATGGAGTTTCATAGTCTATACCAGCCAATTCAAGTCTGGGCCAGGGAATTTAGATGAAGAAATCCAGAATGACAATATATTTGGTCCTTCAGAGTTTGGCTGAAAGAGATAATGGCATTAAGTGGAGGACTATAGCCTCAAGGCTTCAACCTTATGCACACAGATTTAGAAGTAAGCATTACTGAATTCTGAGGGCCTAACATCTACATGCCTAGAATTGGCATATTTCAATATCCCATAGGTCAATTTGACAGCTCAGAGTTAAGCTTTGTAAGTGGAAGATGCAAGTTTATTCTTTTACCAATAAGCTTTTTAGTAGAGGCCTGGATGAGAATCTGCAAGAAAAGTACATTAAAAGCCAGCATGAAGAAACTCTTGTGTCTTTGATTTTGGCAATGAAAGGAAATCAAGCACAAGTATTAAAATGTTGACATTTTCTTCTATGCATTGTAGATTAAGACATGGTAGATAATGAAGGGTCTTCCAAATCAAGGGAAGAATTCTAACCCTTTCCTCATTTTGATACCAATCACATGCAGTCCTACAAACACAAAACAAATACAATGATTTAGAGCAGGTGTTTATTGGCCTCTCATTCCAAGACCAAGAGGACAGGCAGGGTTTCCAGGAGACCCCATCTCATATCTAGTGGGACTTATCATATGTCCCAGCTCCCTTATAAGCCCCAACATAGCCACTGTGGTCAGCTATTTCTTCACGTCCAGCTATCCCTTTGCCTTTGCCACTTTCATCAAAGCGTTCCTTATGAGAACCTGTGTATTTGCTGGTATCTGTCAGTCTGTCTACTGCACCGGCTGCAACAGCTTTCTGCAAGACAATTAAGCAAAGTGTTAGCTGCCTGCTGATGGTGGAGGGTGGGGAAGGGAAGATGATGGTGGCAAATTGATTCTAACACATGGGAATTTCACAGGTCAGAGCAGATGAGCCACAGGGATAAACAACAAGTGGGTACATGGCCTTTATTCATACCAAGAGGATCTATATCTTGAGTGAATTTTAGGTGGCTTACATGAAGGCATCCTATATTCTGAATTTCCCTAATCTATTCTGGGAGGAATTTTAATAGAGAAATCATTCTAGATTATGGGATTTTTTTCCCCCACTTTAGGGCCAACATATTTACATATATGTATGTATGTATGTGTGTGTGTGTGTGTGTGTGTGTGTGTGTGAATACTCTCATTTGGTTACTGATCATTTGA